CCGTCAACGGTGGAAGAATTCTAGGCAGAACTAAAAAAAAACGTATCTTAATGGAACTTGTATCCCAAAGATAGCTAGCAATCATTTATAATCGAGAGAATAATTATGCTTCTCAAAAACCAAATAGTTTTGAAAGCTTTAATGTTAGTATATAAAATATTTTTTTATATTTTATGTTTGTCAATGCTTAAGAATATTAATATATTATTTTAAGAGACAAGATTCTCAAATTTCAATTAAATATATGTGGATGGTTTTCTAAAAATATATTTATTTGTCCAATTCTCCAATATTAAAGCAAGATAAAAAGCACAAAAATCGCTTCGAGTGGTTCATTGAATTGCTTTGACCCAGCAGCAGCTGTCAAAAAAGCAGCAAATATGGTAAAAACATAAAAATCGATTAGCCTCAATTGTTCTAAGCCCTCTTCAAAGCACACACAAAACCAAAGACTTAGGCAACGAACTTGAAATTGAAAAACACAAATACAAATTGAATTGAACAGAATATGGACCGCAAAGAATCGACGATGACGATGGCGTAACGTACAAATCTGTGAAGTACGTGCTGCTGAGCATCTGTAGGGTGTATTGCTATGTTTGTGTGTGTGTCTTCGTAACTTAATATATGAGTCGGGTAAATGCTGCAGCACGTGCTTAAAACGAGCGTCTCTGTATATTACCACAAAATTATAGCGGTTTTGCAATAACAGCAATCGCAGCGCCCCACTCAAAGTCGTAGCTTGAACCTCTAGCTCTAGATGATATTTAAGCTTTGCCTAGAAGTAGCTGCCACAACCGCAGCCGCAGCCAACGACTTCGACTTGGTCTTGGACAACGACGACGACGACGACGACTACGATGTAAACGTAATCGATAACCAGTTCCGAATTGTTGCAATGAAACCGAAAGCGGAAAAGCCAAGCGATTGAAGTCGCAGTCAGCCAGGCAGTTAGCCAAGCGAGTGGAGCAGCAGCCACAGCCACAGCCACAGCCAATGAGCCATGCCAACTGCATACGTTAAATTATTACGCTAAATTGGCCAAGACGCTGGCGACGGCGACTGCGTACGGTATCCAGGCAAAGCTTCGATTGTTAGCGACTGTTTTGTGGTTGATGCACCACACGCATATAATGCAAATTGAATTGTAGCAATTTGAAGGTCATACGCCCTTAGCCGAAATATGCAAATTATAGGACTGAGTGGTTGTGGGCATGTGAGAAAATGCTTTTCTTCTGCCAAGACCAAGGCTGAGTTGGTGGCTTGAAGAGCTCGCTGGCAAGCAGGCGCACCACCGTCATGACAATGAACTCTCTACTACACACACATAGAGAGAGCTAGCTCCCAACGAACGTGGCCAATTAGTTATAATGCTGCTTCGTGATATCACAACATCTGGCAACTCACTCTCAAAGTACACTCACACACATGCACAGACACACACACACACACACACATAGGCACCGACATAGACATAGTAGAGAACTCAGAGAAAACAGACCCCAGAACTTAGACAACAGAGACCCCAGAGCTGTACTTGGAGTTAGAACCGAAGCCGGAGCCAATAAGGAAAAACTCGACGCTCACCAAGGAAATTACTCAAGTTTGCAAAACTATGTAGCAAAAAACAACAACAATACGAATACCTTGCAATACGGATAGAACAGCGACAACAACAGCAACTACAACAACAAGAGCGAACAATGACAATCTGCACGTAGCAATCAGTCAACGTGCGGCAGTTGGTTTAACTTTAACTTGTTGCCAGCGATAGTATTACTACGTGTGAGTGAGAGGCTTAAAGAGTGTGAGGGACGGCCGGTTAGATCCGAGAACTTCCCGTAAACGACAACTACAAAATGCAAAACGTGGAAAAAGTTTAGCGGTTAGTTGACTGCAAACAGAGATGAGCAATCCAGTGATTTTCATACACATTGTGGATAGAGCAAGATGTCGAAGTGTTTATTAAAATTTAAGACAATTTTGATGTCTTATTTATTTAATTACTATTAGTTCTTACCATTCGTAGTTCTTACCATTCGTAGTTCAATTGAACAGTAGATTAATTCCTAATATAAGTGAAATTTTAAATTATTTAAAATTTCCCAGATTATTTTAACGACGTGCAGATTTCTAAGCAAAAACGAAATATCTCTTCAAACCTCCATAAACTATTTGGATTTTAGATTTTCATTAACACCAGCTAAGTACAGTCGATCATCAGTTAGCCATTGTTTGTTTGTTGACTACATTTCAAATTATACTAAAATTCAATTCTTGCCAGCAAAATGCTATTAAATTCTATCGGCCAGTGTCTGGCAGTCATTGAGTAATAGACCACATCACTGCCAGTCGCTGTCATCTCTAGCGAACTGTGACTTGACGCCCACACATGCAAACACGGATGCACCAACACAGATGCGCTGAGGAACACGCACGAACAGCCGCATTGTTGTGCCTGGCCATACATATTTGCACTTAATTAGCCGTTTATTCTTGTTTTTGTTTTGGCTGCTTCTCTTTTAGTACATTTTAGTACATATATATGTATATATTTTTTTTTTGTTTTTGCTCTCTGCGCAAGTGGCAGGAGCCACTAACGTGCATATTTTATGCAAGCGAGCATAATTCATAATTGTAAAGTGAGCTGACAGACACTTTAGCTGAAAAGCTGAAACTGCTGGAAGTACGTAGGAAAGCTCATTTGCCAAGTGGCAAATGGAATCAGGCACCAGCCATCGCCTCAGAATTAAGCCAAATTTGCCGCTTCAGCTGGCGGCAAACAGCAGCCGTTGTTAGAAACTAGTTTGCAAATGTGCATGCAACGCAAACACACACATACATAAAGAGACTCACAGGCGCATATACACATGTATTTTCATTTTCTGACACATAATTCCAGATTCACAGCTCGTGCGCCGCCAGGGCAGCGAGTAGAAACAAGCGAGCTTAATTGCAGTATTTGTTCTAAGTTAATTAGAAAACTAAGACCGCGAACTCAACCAGAATTCGGACGGAGGAGGATGAGGGGAGCTAAAGCTAAAGCCAAAGAAAATCCAACAGACAGATAGATGGCGCATGTGTGTAACTGCTGCATTTAACACTGTCAAGAGTTCAGCTGGCTACCTCAGTTCAGCCCCAGCCCCAAACTCAGTCGCAGTCTCAGTGCCCAGTTTAGCAATTCTCGAGTCAACTTTTTTTTATCTCAGTCTCTGTTATTTTTGTTCGGTTTTTATGTCATTAACATACTTTGAAGTGTGTGTACCATAAGAGTGTCTGTTTGTGTGTGCCGTTTTCTTACTTTGTGGGGCCTGCAAGCTGCTGAAAAGACAATAATCATAATTTATAAGCATGTCTGAAAAATCGGGCAGCAACAGCTTCTGGTTCATTTCTGGCCAGACTTGCGTTGCTGATTGGCTCACATTTGTTTGGCTTTGCATGTTATTTATTTATAAACGTACATACATATGTGTACAAGTCCGTTTTCTCTAATGATAAGCTCGATTTCAGTCAAAAATAGAACATAAAGTCCAGTCATACAAAAGACTTAGGCGACAAACTTGATTGAGCAGCTTGTTAATTATGGCAAGTTAGTCGGTTATATTTTTAATTTCATAGTAAAATTGGGGCTAACACTTGAAATATGGGTCATTGTAAACTGACTTGTCTTAGAAATAATATGATAATATATATAATATCTTTACTAATGGATAAAATAAAATGAAAAATGGTTTAAAGATTGTACTTTATGATATTTTTGTTGTTCAACTAAATGTACCCATCAATTTATCTGTAAATATATAGAGACGAGACCTAGTTCAGTGGACCGTGATGAGTGCAACATATTTTGTATGCTTGTGTGAACAATAAATGGTCATGAGAGTGTCTTCTAAAACGATGTGCTGTTAATGACCTTGCCGCAGAAAACCGTAATAAGCAAAACAATGTTTAAATTCCAATGAAAACGCTTAGGGATTTGCACAATCTGAAAAACAAGCTATAATCAACGACGCCGAACGAGCCAAAGACTTTCTCTATGGCTTGAGGGTGTTATAATGTTGGCCCATTGACACGAAAGGTTTTAGCTCTATTCGCGCACAGATTTGGCATCATTAAGCTCATAAATTGTTACTTAGCCGGCGCTTTGGCAAATGCAAAAGTGTGAAATATGGCAGGGTAATTTAAAATATTTAGGTTGTGTTACTCAGTTGGGTCAGTGGTCAGCGGTTAGGGCCGCAATGTGTCCCCAATGCAGAAATTGTGACATCTTTTTGAGATACGAAATGTTTTTATACTATAAGCTTCAGATCTAAGCTGTCTTGCACTCAATTCACATTTACAATTTGTCTTCATACTTATATCAATTTTTCTACTATATTTTTGTCAACCGATCACACATCATCGTCGTCATCACATTATCATCAACACACACAAAAAAAAAAACCATCATTGCAACGGCTACATCATAAAAATCCAATGGTCTACCTCATCGAATACTTATGTCAACATCATTCCATATAAAATTCTTGTCACGCTCACGACTCTCACACATACACATACACACACTCGCACACAACATACATTACATAATCTTTTCATATTGTTTTTGTAATTTGTATTATTATATTCATCAATCATTTTGAATACTTTTTCTCATTTTTGGTTATGTTTCCGGTATTTTACCTTATTGAAATTTAATTAAATTTACATTTATCGTTAAAATAATACATATATGTATATATGTAATACATATATGTATTTATGTATGTGTGGCACAACCAAAATAATAATTACTGTACATATATTTACCCCCTATATACATATATAAATATATTTATTGTCTGTGTGTGTGTGTCACGGCTGGGTTTGATTTTGGGTTTTGTTTGGAATGGCTATCGATAAAACGCACACATGCACACGCGCACACACCATACACCCACACACGAATACTCCAATATCAACAAACCCTTGCACACCAATTGTGGGTTCCGGGCCAGCAGATCGAGTCGCTTTGGTCACCGCCGCACCGCCGAGTTATACACGTATGTATCACTATTTTCCAGCACATTTGAGCCCGCACCCGTTCTGCTATTACCCACCCGCACCACCACCACCACCACCGCCTGCACCGCCCACACAGCTGGCTACACCGTTGACCCTAAAACAGCTGGGTAACTCGCTTACCTCCATGACACAGGCGGCGCAGTTGGCCAAAACGCTACGTTATGCGCCAGGTAATAACAATCTTGCTTAGTTCTACATAGTTGTAAATCAATATTATCTTAATCTAAACATAAATAAATACTACTCCACTTAAAAAGAGACTGTTCCATAACAAACCAGATAAAAAGAACTATTACAAATTAAAGCATTTGCTTCTTATCTTTTAGAGTTTGCGCAAAGTTGCCAAAAACTACAGAAAGTTCTTAAGAATCAATTTAAAGTTTCTAAGTTTATAAATTCATTCTTTTTTTTGTGTGAAGATTAACATCATCTTTTTAGTGTTAATAACAGACCGAAGTTCCTCTCTGATTTGTAATATAATCAGTATAAAATTATTTTAGTTGTATTCATAACATAATCAATAACCTTATTTAAGTAATTAATACATGCCCCTAATTTGACATATATTCATATCTTCCTTAGGCATGTTTATTCGTCCCGATGAAACGAATCTTTACACGACGCTGGAGCCCACATTAAGCAGCAATCCGAATGTTTATTTCCAGCGCAGCGGCGCTGTGCATCCGGGCATATTGTATTGACTAGAGGAGCAGAAGAGAGCAAAGAGCCACTGGAGCTATCGAGAACACTGGAACTGAGTATTTTTTCTTAATATTAAGCTACAGCACATAGCGCTCCCCTCACAACCCTAATACGGCTCCCAAGGAGCAGCAATAAGTGAATGAATCGGATTAAATAGTGTAAAACTTTTGTCATAATGTCTAAGCTCCTAGATTATAAGTCAATATATAATATGTATGCTTAAGTGCGATATATGATAAATGGTAGTGAACACTCAGAAAAAAAACCCATTCTTTTTATTGTTAACTAAGCTAACTCAACGATCGAACATGTCAAATACTCTCTAATATGAAATTCTGATCTATGTTAAGTAAGTCTTACGAATATTAACGATTCCAACTAGAAATAGATTTGTAAGTTGTACTCTAATAAGTAAATAAAACACAATTTTCACCATTTACACAGGCCATATTTGTATGTACTTACGTTGATCTAATCATATTGACTAAAGCTATTCTCATTTTAGTCTGCAATAATGGTGAAAAGAAGGAATATTGTAGATATCGGTAGTATCAGTAAACATTTTAAAGGTTTTTTTTTTTACATTTAAAGTTGTATTTCAAATCCAACTAGCTAATAGTTTTTTTAGTTATGATGATTTTACCATAAACATAATTTCATCCTGTCCGAAAATGACAATCGATATGTTCTATGCGATATGTATAAGATATTATATAAACAAATGAATAATTTTAAATTTGCTTCATAGAGGTGCAAATCTGGTTAACGATAAGAATAATGTTTGTAATATTTCTAATGCTTATTTATAATTCTTATTTAGTTCCGACACAGATAAAAAAAAAACAACTCTTTTTCTTTGCTGTAGTTCTTAAATGATTTATGCCTCTATGAGTAATTAGGCCCGAATAACAAGCAAAACAATTAGAGAGCATACAGAAAAAAAAAACATTTGTTTAGCCAAGTAAACACGAAAATGTTATGTACATAATGCCCGCAGGCACATACGATGAGCAAATACTCTCAATAAAAACCGATAAAAGAAAAATAATACGAAAATTATCGAAAGAGATGAAATGATAAAGTAATGAAGAAAACAACTTGCACTCACACTCAATTACGTGTTGTTGTACTATATAACGATTACAATTACAATTACAATTAAGTATAATTGCAAATTATTGGCATAGCAGCGCATATTAACGCCTTCAAATAGCAACAGCTGCTCGAACTGGGATGTAACTGGTATTGGATATATGTGTGCATGTATTTTGTGTGTGTGTGTATATCGGGGGTATATTATTGGATGACTATGCGGCAGCGCCGCTGCATGTTTCAAATAATTTGTTAACGCTTTTGCCAACCGTTTGCGATTGGGTGCCAGCTGAGTAAACGTTAATGTTAAACTATTATCGCCAGGCTCTAAATGTAAGTGCCTTATAGCAATTCCATTACACGACCAACGCCTATCACTTGACCTTATATGGGTAATACAAACACACACTCATACACACCAACACACACACACGCAAATGCATGCCTAGGGCGTGTACAGAGCGACATGAAGTGAGCCTCGCATTAATTAAGTGCAACAATGCAGTTGAGAACCCAATGCTGCCTGAAGATGGACACATACGAAGTACTTGAATAGTTTACTAGAACCACATCCACATCCACATCCACACTCACACATAACACAACACGTCGTTCGTATTAATGACATTTCTCACGAACATTTTGCCAGAGCTACCGACAGAACACACTGAGAGACAGAGAGACTGAGAGACAGTGTCATGTCCAGTGTGTCCAGTCTCCAAGGCATGTCAGTGTCTGCATCTCAGTCTCAGTTGCAGTCGCAGTCTCAGTCTCTGGTTGGCTGGCCTCGCTTCAATTAGGCGCGCCTTCAAATCACAAGTCAATCAAAGTTGTTAGATTTGCCGTCCTTTTTGCCATTGGTACTAACTCTGACTCTGACTCCGACTCTTTGACTCTGTCTGGGACCAATTCCAGTCGTATACTACGCAGCGCTGTGGCTGGTTGACATCTGTGACATGGTACAGCGGCGGCATCAATTACAACATCTATGACAGCACAGCGTGAAATGTTTGTACATGTCTTGGCGGCGCTTCCGATGGGACCAATTAGCCCTAAGTAGGCATTTCAATGGACTCTGCAATTAGCCAAAATCGAAAGCAAACAATTTCATTTCATCATGGCGATCAACATTATCGGCGATCTATATGAAATCCCAATTCGATGTAATTCCATTACAGCATTTCTCTTAACCCAGGGGTGTCCCCAGTATTTACGTGCAAATGGCGTTTGGCAACGCTTTATGCTATAATGGGGCAGCACGATTTCATTGCCCCCAATGCTGTTACTGATCACAGCAAATGGGTGCGGTCTCTAGGGCGGAAGCGGAATTCTCTCTGTCTGCTGAGAGATGAACAATGCATGTCCAAAAGCTGTGACTCTTCACTTTATATTGTAAAGAAAATAATTCAGTGATCGATTTGCTATATTTTAAAAATATTTAAGAGTTAAAATTTCTGGCTAAAATCTTGTATCTTAACATAACATAATTTAGTTGTTCGTCGAATTAATTGGTAATTTCTGAAACTATCAACTTTAATGTAATGCATAGGACTTTCAAATATCAAAATAATCTGAATACATTTTTACTCAAGTAGCTCGTAAAGTCAATTTCCATCTCAAACTCTTCCTGGATTGGAATTGGATTGTAACACACTTTGAAGACAACTGTATTTCAATTGAGATGCTAACACCTTAGGAGCAATAACAGTCGTCATAAAATATGCTTTTGAACAGTCCTGCACAGTTTTGAGTTGTTGAACGATCTTTAAGCACAGTTTTTACTGATGTGAAGCCTAGACTCTCTCTCAGATTTTGAACGATCTATAAGCTGGCTTACGGCTTGTTTTGCTCCTTGTTATTGCATGTGTTCTTATTGTTTGTTATTGGTCTTAAACCTGTCAGTTTATGAGGCAAGATAAATTTACACTAAACTCACCAGCGATCACCGTTTTAGTTTACCTCCCAACTCAGATGCCAAAGACGACTGTGGCCCAAAGGCAACTCAGGAATCTGAGTCTGTGGCTCCGTCTATCTATCTATCTGTATGTCTGTCTGGGATTTTTGTTTTATGTTTTTTGTTAAGAGTTTTGGGTAACTTTAATGATAAGTCGTGTTGCGGGCACGTTGGCAAATTAAATAACGAATACCTAACCGTAATATTATCCTTGAATGAAAGAAGCTGTGCCACAATTTAAAGCGACTGCAGGCACTCAGTTACTATTACTACTATTATTGCGGTGCAAATGTTATGACAGCGTATTAATATATATATATATATATATGTATATATAAGTTTATACATATATACATAAGTTTGGCGGGAATGCGCATAACACTTTTATGGGGCCCAAGGGCAGCGTCACGTTGCTGATTTGATGGGCTTGGTGGGTCGATGCAGATTAAAAAAATGGTGAGATGGCGATGGGAAGATTGAGATGGAGTTGCAGTTGAAGTTGGTCTGGCGATCGGCTGTTGATAAGCTCAAGCTAAAGTTGAAGCTGAAGCTGAAGCAGAACTGGTAATGCGTGCATTGACCGCAGCCCTGAAGCTGAAGCTGGAGCACAGCTGACGTAAGTTGAAATTAAATTTGAGGTAAGGCTGCAAAGCATATTGGCCCGTTTGCCTGGGCAGTGAGTACAGTTAACCTCGTTTAAGTGCGCCACGCACAGCCTGATGGGCAGCCAAACAGTGGACTTGGGACAGTTGGACAGTTGGACAGTTGGTGAGTTGGTGAATTGGAGCTGGCGAGCTGGACTGGCACGCCAGTGTAAGTCCAATTAACAGTGCCCAGAGACGTCGCTCTAACTATGTGTCGTGCCTGTCGCGTCCCGTCCTGAAGGAAGTCACAGTGACTTGGACGGCATTTGTCGCATGCTCCTGCTTATAGCATATATAACTGGTTCTGGCGACCGACAGACCGAGCAACCAAACAACCAACCAACCAAGCAACCAACTATCCAACCAGCCACTCAAGTAACCAAGCCAAGTAAAACCAACCAACACCTAAGCTTAGAACCGGCAAAAGCCGGCATACAAGTTTATAGCGGATGCGTAAACGCATTTGGCTCAAATGCCGTTAGGGCCTTTGACTAAATTGCATGGCCATGGACAGGGCCTCCTCGCCTTCGGCTTCAGCTCATACTGTGAATGCGACTCTGACTGCGACGGCAACTGCGACTGCGACTGCAACTGAGGCAGCAACTGTGGCAGCGGTGGTGGCAGTGGCAGCGGGCAGCGGTATTTGCATGCGCAACGAGAGACGATCGCCGGGGAGCACATTTCAAGTAACGAGATTTGCCATTGACTTGGCATCTTGAGCAATGTTAATGCATTGCGAGCAAAACAGCCGCCGCCCAGATCGTTCGATCTCCATTTGACGTAATCAACACAATGGCCCAAAATGTTTGGGTCATTGAATTCTTTGCAACCTATCGTTGAATCTTAACGGTTTACTTTCTTAGTGGCGCGAGATCAATGTACCTGCCTCTGCTTCTGGCTCTGAAGTATCATTCAGCGGCTCTCATGCCCTTTTACGTACATGCTCCATTGATTAAATAATCCCAGCAAAGTGAAGTTGATGCTCAACACTGAACATAAAATACGCTCTCTGCGGGACTATTAGCTTCAAAGATAAGACAAAGTACTCTTATAGATTTTTCAGAGAATCACAAATATTTACAAAATAAAATGTATGCTTTATGCTTGTATGCTATAATACTAAATAAACCTAATATAATAAATTCAGATAAACAAACTTATATTTTAAAATTCCACAAAAAAATCCTGGATTTTTGGCAGTTTTAAAAGTTCCGATCGTAGAAGACTGAATGTGAAATGCACTAAGATAAAGACAGGTCTCGGTTGCCCATTTGAGAGAAAGAGCATTACGCAATAGTAAACGAAGTACCCAGTATGTAATTATTTTTTATGATCTTCAGTGAAATGGCTACCGACTCATCTCTCATCTCTCTATTCTGGCTTCGTAACTTATCTGTATGCCATTACTTTTGGTTTGCTTTCGTGTAGTTGAACTTTAAATGCTTGGGATGGTTGTATTGAATTGGGCTAAAGTGTTTCAGCAGCGTTAAGAAGATTGAAATGAGTGTGTTGGTTTCTTTTTTTTCGTTTTTATTTTGTTTTTTTTTTTACTGCCTCAAGCGACGAAATGCAAGTTCACCAGGTACTTGTTGTTGTTTTTGTTGTTGTTATTGTTGGATTTGGTGATTGAGTTGTTGAAAGGAATGTGTGGGGAGAGAGGAGTGGGAGAGGTTGTTAAAGATGCCGTTTAATTGTGATTTATGTCTAAAGAAAGTTGTTATTTCGCCCCGTCTTACAGTAAACACTTACCACAATGGAATTTTCCTAGAAAAAAGAAATGATTTGCAATTGAAAATTGTAAAATTGATTTATTATTGTCAATTAAAGGATTCATTTGGTAATCGTGATGATGCGGTAATAAAGTGATTGGTAAGTCCGCAGCAGCGATTAAACTTCATTGATCGTTGGTCTATTTTAGGACTCAATCACGATTTCCGCAGGCATCTGTTAATCCAAATCATCTTTTAAAATGATCGTCTGTTCTCTGGGCTACCAGTTCTCCTGTGGTGCCAGCCATTGTATGCAAAAGGTCTCAAAACGTGCGCTAAATATTAAATTTAATATTGCCGCCTGACATACATAAATATATGTGTTTTCCACTTCTATTTTGAGCCAAATGATGTTGGTGCTTCTGTTCTTAGCTAAAAGCTTAAGAGTTCAAGTGCCTACAGGTTTGGGGTTATTTGCTGATTTTTTACGACTATTTTTGTATCTTAAAGATACAAGTTTATTTATGGGCAGCGCCAGGTTCACGATGTTCTGGCCGTAAAGTGCAAAAAGTGCATAAAATGCAACGAATGACATTGCAACACCCGGCACACGAGGACGCATCAGCGTCAGAATCCCAATCACAGAATCAGCCACTAAAGATGCAACTTATATACGTACATCTCTTATGCACATGAATGTGTGTGTGTGTGTGTGTGTGCGTGTGTGTGTGGGTAAGTTGAATTTAATGTAGTTTGCCTGCTAAATGCAAACGCACAGCAGCCAACAAGAGCCACCGTGGCCACCGTCGCAGCTGAATGCTAAAAGGGTTTTGGCTTGGATTCGTTTATTTTATTTGGTTTATTTTTTTGTTGTTTTGCTTTTTTTACTGCGCTGCCCCTCGTTGATGCGCCTCATTAGGAGTGGCTGGAAACCAGTTTCAGGGGCACAAATCGCAGACAATTGACAATTTAAACGAATTTCTTCCAAACACAGCACTGACATGGCCCAGGCACATATGACGAATAGTCAGTCGCAGCTACGCTGCCTGGGGCCGAAGTTTACGCATGAAAAATTCAACTCAAGCCATTTGGCCACCACCGCCACCGCCACCACCACCAGCATCAGCACCACCACCACCAACAGACGACAGGAAGCAGGAGGCCGAGTAGGAGCTAGAACCGACAACCGCCTGTATGAAGTGTCATTCATCTGCCCATAAACGCATTATTCAATATACTTGTACTCTGTAGCTGGTACACTGCGAAAATAAATATATGCCATAGCCATTTTCAAAATAGCACTAAATTAAATTTTGTGTTGAAGAAAAGTAATGTGACTTGCCTAGTTTGGCATTCCCAAGAATATGTTGTTTATTTTTAATTGCTGATAATTTTAATATTTCCCATATTAAACTTTTTAAAACTTTCTTTTAGTTAGAAATTGTATGAACTACATTTTAGAAATATCTTAATGAAATAAAAAAATGATGGCTCTACTGTTTAGAAAGACAAATCACTATTAATACAATAAGATTTAGTTTATAGTCATTAGCAATTTGCGAACTTGTCGGGCATGTATATTTCCGAGTGTCGGAGGAGGCAACATCAGCCAGCAGGTAGCGGGGGCAGAGTGAAGGCAGAGTTGGAGGACTGCCGCAGCTAGACAAACGAGTGATCGGCAGACGAATAACAACGGCGACGTCTGACTAAATGCCTCATACTGTGCTTGGGGTCTTGTGGGGCTGCTGCTGTTGTTGCTGCTGATGCTGCTGTTGCTCTTGCTGCTCCTGCCAGGCACTTGGCCAACTCTCTATCTGTTTGTCAGTGTGTCCGTTTCGTCTGCTTTCAAGGTTAACAAGTTGCATTTGCAATTTGGGACTAGCACTGTGGCAAGACGACCGACGACCCTTCGACGGCGAACCGGCATCAATCGCTTTGGTGAGAATTAAATGTTTATGGCTTTGGTGTTTGCCCGGAACCAATTTAATGAGCGACCTCAACCAATGCCCAATAACCCCTCACCCTGACCCTCCCTCTTGATCAGCCATGTACAGCAAAAAGCACTCTCCGCCACAGCAATTGATATCCTTGGCCAATTCCAATCGTTTTCAGCCAATCTTAATGTTAAAATGTTGCTGAAATTAAAGTTGCAACAGTCAAAAAAAAACAATGTTGTAGCTCTTTACGACTAAACGATAAGGACATACGATTTGAGTAATCAAACTGCGTGAGATCTTTAAGTACACACTTAGTATTATTCATTAGATTAGTACAAAAAGGTCTATTAGAAAACTGCTATAAAAATGCATTTTCTCTTTTTCACATTATTAAGCTTAATTAAAAGTTAATAAGAATTTAGATAGTAAAATATATAAGTACAGATATATAATGTACTCAAATTCGCATTAAATTTATAGTATAACAACCAGAATCGTAGTGTCAAAAATGCGATTGACCGCTGATGGCAAAGGGCAGAAACGAGCAGTCGGCAATAATGCGACGCTGATCTATTATTCACCAGATTGTAAAAAGTAAAAATCACGCTTTCGTGTTGTGTATAAATTGAATGTAATTTATAAATGTCCAGGCGTTGAATTAAATCCCAGGCCGCCACATAGCCACGATGTTCGACAGGGCGTCTCGCTCTGCGGTTGGTGATTTTTCAAAATAAACAACCTTGAGTCGGAGCAGCGGAGAACAATTGCCCAGTGCAACAACAACAGCAAGATCAACAGGCACAATAGACAACAACAGCAGCAGCAGCAGCCGCATCAGCAAGAACGGCAGCAGCAGCAAAGGATCCGCGGTTCCCCTTAAAGGCACTAGGAACGATGAAAAATTGCGCCAATTGAATTTGGCCAACAATTGTGCCCTGCCACAAAGGCGGAAGGTAGGGCGACGTTTGGGTGCAAATCTACTGGGCGGTCGCTAAGTTTTCAACGCATTTATCAATACCCAAGTGGCCGTTGCAACTATGGAACCCAGAGCACAACCTTATCCACAACCAGCATAACTACCAGTGTGCCCAATGCCAATGCCAGTGACCAGGACCAGGCGTTGACAATGCCAAGTTGTAAATGTAAGTAGAAAAAGGGTTTCACCGCCGACGACGCTTAAATTGTGAGCAGTGGTAATGTGAATAATCGATTTGACTTCACGTCAAACATCTGTTGTTGCCCTCTATTTATATAGATGAATATTCTACCAGCATTCCAAATAATAACGCAATTCATCCAAAGCTTTAAGCAAACGCCAGGTCTTCTAGAAAATATTTTTCATGCATGAATTTTTGGTGTACATTTTTGGTAAAGTCTGAAAAAATACATGTTTTTATATAAATATAATGTGCATGTCACTCGCTCAGTTTGATAAAAGGAATAGCTTATTAGACTCGTATATTTTAACATACTACCAAAATATTATATTACATTCGTTGATATTTTTATTCATCTGCAAACGGTATTATATTTTGTGTGTAACACATTGAAGAAATATATGCAAACCCATAAAGCTAATATATTCTTGATCAGCATCACTATCCGAGTTGAACATAAAGGGAAACAATTTTATTTAAGTTAATAAAATACTGCATACTTTCAGGATTAATCATATTCTCTGAATGCTCGAAATTTAACTATTATTATTATTAAATATATGTATATGTTTCTTGTGTATATTCTAAAAAGGGAACTCATTTGGTTCAAGTATAAAAAATATATTTAAACAATAAAAAATGAATATAATATTGGCATATTATAAAGCCTATTCGAAGGAATTTAATATTTATAGCTTCGGAGATACAGAGTAAGTTATAGTCTTACGTTTAGTTCAGTTTGGGAAGATTGGAAAGAAAGATTTCATAAATTAAGTGTAAACTGTGGGACTAGTAAACCTTTAAGTAGTTAGGTGGGTTTTTCATAAATTGCGTTGGATGACAAATTCATAGAATTGAACATTCCTAATGGGAAAATTAACAAACATAAATAGTTTCTTTTCGAAAGACAATAACACAAAACAAAAAAATATAAAGAAAACAAATTAAGTATGTTAATACGTAGACAAAACAAACTGATACTAAGCTAAAATCTACTAATTATGCTAGCTGACTACATTTAATGGATATGGCTGACGTTAGCCGCTTAAGTTTTCTCTGCCACGGCGCGCAGCTCATCCATCAACGATGGCACGGCCTCCGAACGTGTTGAGCTGGACTCCAGATCGGCCAGCAGCTTGCTGAGATCGAGCATATTCTCACGGCAAGCGGCCACGTCTTCGCTTAGTTGGCACAAATTTGGCTGGCTGCGTTGACTGCGCTCGATCAGCTCCAGGATATAGCTATTGCGCGGCCGGCCCGTCTCCTGCGCAGTTTGTTGAATGAGCTATAGTGAAAGGATTTTATAAAGAGAAACAGTATTAATATTTTATTGAGGGCTTACCTTTTTGTAGTCATCAATAAGATTGGCCACCTCATGCGCCGGCTCCAACGGGGTTGAGCTTACAGTCGATTTGCCGGAATCAGAAGCCTCAAAGTGCGCTCGTTCCGCGGCCAGAGTTTGCTCCAATGACTATAGGGCCAGGCACAAAGGTCAAGTTAATTAGTAATTATTAATTAGGACTTCAAAACTAATAGCGACTGTGGGACTGATCAATCAGTTCTAGCTTACCTTAATTCTGGCCAGCGCTTGCTCATATTTTCCACCGACTTTGGCCAGCTTCACTTTCAGCAAGGGGAGTTCTTTAGCTGCTTTGCCTGCACGCAACTCCTGTCGCAGCATTTTGATCAACTGGGACCAATTCTTGACATGCTGCAACTTGCGACCGGTTTCCATTTCCAGCACTTGCACCAGGTTATTGTGCTGCTTTCTAGGTGCGATTTCCCGCTCCTTGAGCAGTTCCTGCACCTGAGCATGAAGCTGGCTGAGATTCACTGCGTCTTCGGCTTGTGCCTTTTTGACTTGCAGCAGCTCGTTGCTGTTTTTCGTTTCATGGGCCTGACTAAGCCGTTGCAACTGCTGTAGCTGGTCATTTTGTTGTGCGAACAGCTCGTTGAGCTGCTGCAGTTCATCGGCTTTCTGCTGTAGTTGCTTTTCCATTTGTAGCTCCATTTGCTGTGTGGCTTGAAGTGCTTCGAGCAACTGCCGCCAATCGGCTTCCATTTCATTGGTGTTTCTTATTTTGTCGTTCTGCTGCTGGAGCAGTTGCTGCAACAGCGCAACAGTTTGTTGTTTTTGCTTATTGACCGCCAGCAGCTGCTGCTCTAGCGACTCAATGCGCTGCTCCAGCACAGAACTATCCTCTATTGCTTGGGTGCCATCGGTCACTAACTGCTTCTGCTGAACTTGCTGCTGTTGCTCCATTTTGGATTTAAGCTGACTGCATTGCTGAACATAAACTGCGAGCTGTTCACGCAGTTCATTTAGTTGCTGCTCTTGCTCAACATTTTGGCTTTGCTGCACTTCTAATTGCCATTTGGTCTGCTTGTATTTGGCGCAAGTCTCCGCGTTTTGTTTGTGCAGTTCAAAAAGCTGCCTCTCCAAGTTTTGCAGCGTTTGCTGCGTCTCCTGCAGCTGACGTTCGAGTTCTGTTTTCTCCGTCATCAAATTGTTAAGTTTGGCATCCTTTAGAGCCTGCTCCAATTGTTGCGCCTCCAACTGGAAATTCAACTGTTCGAGTTGCCGTTGCTGCTCCTCGTTCTGTGCCTGAAGCTTGGACATGAGCAACAGTTCTGTTTGTAGCTCAAACAGTGCGTGCTTCAGTTTTCCTATTTCGTTAGTCTTGGCAATGATCTCGCCATGGAATGCCATGCTATACTTGTGCATTGCATCAATGTTGCACTCGCTGCTCAGTTTCGTCTGATAGTGTTGCTTCAACTCCAGGAATTCGCTCTCTTTCAGCGTCAACAGCCGCTCTTGGGTCTGCAGTGTTTCATTCAGCTCAGCGATGACCTGACGCAATTGCTCCCGCTCCGCTGTCACGCTGCGAAGTGTGGTCGCCTTCAACTCCAGCTTGTGCGCCATTTCACGCTGTGCATCAATCAGCTGCTTGCACTGACGCGTCATGTGCTTGTTCTCCAACTCAACGCCTGCGAGCTGGCGTTGCACTTGCAGCTGCTTGCTGTCATGCTCCAGGCTCATTCGCTGGATGTCCGCCAGCAGTACTTTCTTTTGCTTGCGCAACACTTCGGTGAGTTGACACTGATCGGCCAGCCTTGCCTGCTGCTGTTGCGCCTCAAAGGAATCGCAGTCGGCGCTGCCTCCTCGCTGTTCCGTGGCTGGCAGCATCGCAGTTGCAGTTGTTATCGTAGTAGCTTCTGATGCTGCTCCTCCTCCTGGCGTCGGTCCGCCACTTTCCAGTACGGCACATTTGGCTTGAAGACGCTGCGATTCCTGTTGCAATCGCTGATTCTCTAACATATACTTTCGCTCCTGAGCGTACAGACGCTCCAGCGTTTCGAGGCGATTATGCTTCTGGGCCTGCAGTTCCTGTTTGTACCACTGCTCTGATTTGCTAAGCCGCTCCACTTCACTGCGCGACTTGCGCAGCTCCTGCGAAACCAGAAACAACGACTCTGTGACTGGTTCCTGGTCTCGCTCAAGTTGCTGTTCCTGAATCCATGTCGTGGCATCATTTGTCACCGACTCATCTGCATCACTGCTGCAGCTGAAGAGGCCAGAGTCATCGGCCAAGGCAACGCCCCCAGAACTATCCCAGTCCATTGCGTGGCAGGCGATCTGCGGCGAACAGACTCAGTCAAGGTCAAGGTCTGCTCATATAATGATTGTGCTCACCAGCTGGCTGTTCTCGCAACGTTGCCAAAATTTTTATGCAATTCTTACTGTTTCAGTTTGCTGCAGAGTGTACACAAATCTACATTTTTGGCATTGTATACAAAAAATACAATTTAACAATTTCTGCCAGCTGCACAGCTGCTAACGCGTCACCAGTGTGACCTCCTTAAGAATCTATAAGTAAATAAAATACCAGCTAAAATGAAGCTTAAGATTTGAGCTAGAGTGACTAAATTTCTGTATGCGTTCATTTTATAAAAACTGATTAATAATTTACAGAAAAAATGACCAAAAATGTTCATTGAATGAGTATGTATATATATTATCTATATGAATATGATAAGACATGACAGCAGCAAATTCGATTGCACTACATTATGTTGACTAGTGTTGTTTTGTGGTATTCGCTGTTGCTACTACGGTCACACTTGCTGGCGAAACCATCACAAATAATACGCTTATTAGAAGTTTTCAAGTTTTAAATGCTCTAGCATTTTACCAAATTAATTGCTATTTGCACAGCAGTATCAATTAAACAAAAATCGATAAAATGTGCTCATAGAATGCATTAAGCATTTGAGCATAATGCAGTGCGTAATGTGTGTAAATAGAGTTAATTAGTTTAGTTTGCAATTGCGTGTTACAAAACAACAAAAACAATAACAAAGACGTCGAAGCAGAAAGAGAAGAGTAAACAGCATGTCCAGCTCCAGCTCCAATGGAGCAGCAAGTGGATCTGGCGAAGCCTTCGTCATCTATTACGAGGGCAAACCGCTGCAGCTGCATTGGAAGGGCGTGCCACCATTGACCCGTTCGCCCGCATTGCGTCTCTGCTTCATGGGCAGCTATGCAGAGGGAACCAAAGACAGAGATTCCACTGCTCTTGTCCAATTTGAGTCCAGTTGGTTGTTACTGCTGACAGCAGATCAATCACTCTATTCGGCGGAGCTGTTGAAGCTGCATGGTATCAGTACACTGGAACTGAGCCTGCTGCGCACGGACATCGTTGATGTGGATTTTTGTCGCGGCAGCCGTCAGCTGTTTGTGGTACTTACCAATGGCAGCGTGCAACGTCAATTGATCACCGCCGGCGGCGGCGGCTATCGGGCGAGTGCATGGCAAACGCTCAGCTTTGATCCGCTCGGACTGCACGACGAGGGTGTCTGCATGCGACGTGTCTGCTGCTCCGAGCAGGGTGTCGTCTTTGTCAGTCTCAACGGGGACACCTATGTCCTGGGGAGCTGTGGCGAGGTCTTCAACGCCGAGCAGCCCCGTCACATGCGCCTCTGCGAGGAAGGTAAACAGCTGTTGGACCTGGTCGCTGGGAATGAGCATTTTGTGCTGCTTGTGGCGCCCCATCAACTGGCCGACGATGTGCTGCAGCTGCAGCAGGAGCACAGCAGCGCAGAGGAGCAGGGCTCACTTAAATCTCTGCAGAGTGGCAGCTCGGAGCGCAGCTTTACGGCCAACACGCGTCATCTACTGCATCAGGGATTTGCGTTGCTACACACGCAGCTGTTCACATTTGGTGCCTCGAATGGTGGCCTGCTGGGCACCGGGGATCACATACGACGAGCCCACGTCGCCCGTCTGGAGAAATTGGATGGCATGGGCGTTTGCAGCATTGCTGCCGGCAGGCATCACAGTGTGGCACGCACCCTAGATGGACGTCTCTATCACTGGGGCATCAACAATCGCGAGCAGCTTGGCGAGGATCTCAGCTCGCCCACCGAGATCTGTTTGTCGGAACAACTGAAACCGGAGCAGCACACCGCGCTGGAGGCGACCTGCGGAGATTATCGCACACTGCTTCTCAATGCAGCTGGGCAAGTCCAAATGGTGTCCCAGCCTCCCTCCCAATCCAGCACCTATGAACAGACAGTGCTGCATTTGCAGTTGGGCGTCGCCTGGCCACGTCAGATGCGTCTGCTGCACTGTGCCGGTGGCTACACGCTCCAGAATTGCCGTCAATTCCAGCGACAATATCACTATTTTCTCAGCCATCTGCAGTCGCAGTTACAGCTGCTGTTGAAGCAACGTCAGGCGGTAGAGACTCTGCTCAGTTGGAAGCTGCCCGTTTTGGCGCCGCTACTCCTCAACTGGGAGCGAATTGTGTGCCTGGTAGCAGCCACACTACACTCGCTGGAGGGCTTCTATCGTGCGGACTATGTGCAGCCGGCGGATTTACTGTTCATCTGCTATTATCGCGAGTATATCGAACTGTTCGAGGGCTATACTCGTTCGTATTGCGATGTGCTGTCGGTGAATGGATTTGGTGAGGCGGTAAATGTCATTGGACAGCCGCCATTGAGCAATCTCAATCTGCTGGCGGAACTGGGCGAAGAGAGCTATCTGATCCGAATGTTCCAGCAGCCATTTGCCATCTATCAGCTGTTCATGCAGTTCATGGAGCTCCTGGTCAAGACACAGCCAGAATACGATGAGCATCGTGTCGCCTGGTCAGAGTTTGCCCGCATGAGCTGCATTAGCCAGGAGCTGGCCGTCAATACCAAAGAGTTCTGGAGCGGCAAGGAGTGTACGCCGCGCATTGCCCATCTGCGACATCGTCAGCGACGTGTGATCCTCACATCGGCCCTGGTGCCGCTCAAGCTGGCGAGCAGCGGTCTGAGCATGTCAAGCCACAGCTTTATACTCTTCTCCGACTTCCTTTGCCAGCTGGGCAGTCATGCACTCCATGCGTACCCGCTGAGCGCCTTGTGGATTTGGTCAGAGGGTGAACTGGGACTGCGCATCGTGACGCCCGAAAAGAACTTTCTGCTGATGACCCGCAAGGCGGAGTTGCGTAAAGTGTGGCTTGATCAGCTGCAGTCGAGCATTGTGGCTGCCTTAGGGCGTCCACTAGGCAGTCCGGTTCCCAGTGTTCGGTCCACTGCCTATGAGTATAGTCGAGAGCATCCAAAGTTTGCACGGGTCAAGGCCTGTGGCACCTGGCGCAAAGGCATCCTGCATGGAAATTGCTATCTGGAGTATCCCGATGGCACTGTCTACTGCGGCGAGGTCCATCATGGAGTCATCGAAGGTGACCAGCTTAAGAATTACATCTTAAGATATATTCTTTAACTGATACCTTATTATTTATAGGCTATGGAAAAATGGTAATACCCTCGACCGGTGTCTACGTGGGAAACTTTAAAGGCGGCCGCTTTCACGGATTTGGCGTCTATGAGCTCAATTGCACCGGTGGCCACGACAGCGAGATCTATGAGGGTAACTTTTGTGAGGGTCTCTTTCACGGTCACGGCATGATGCGTAACAATCGCTGCATCTACGTGGGCGAGTACGTGGCGAATGCCCGCAATGGGTACGGCGTCATGGAGGATCTGATCAGTGGCGACAAATACATGGGCATGTTTGCGGACAACAAGCGGTGTGGCATCGGCAGTTGCGTCACGAATCGTGGTGACTACTTCGAGGGCCACTTTGCCGCCGACGACCTCTGCGGCAGCGGTGTGGCTGTCTTCGAGAACGACTACTACTACGAGGGTGAACTGACGCTGCAGGGACCCAATGGACGCGGCGAGTACTATATGCCCAGCGGTGATGTTGGCTGTAGTGTTTTGGGTGCCACCGATCAGGACGATGACAACTGTGAGCTAATTGGCAATAAGATGTTTGGCCATCTCAGCGGTAGCTGGGAAACGGTCCGCATACAAAACGGTGAACTGGTGCTCAATCGATGTTTCTCCAAGTATCCCAGGTGAACATGTCTGAAAGTTATTCAAGCTGCAGCAATAATAATTGAAAGATCTCTTCTAAATATTATTTCAGTTCACTTGGTCGCGTTATGGTGGATCACAATCGTAAATGGCGCGCATTGTTTCACAACTTTGAGTCGGATGTGGCGAATTGCAGTTCCGCAGCCAGCAGTCATAGCGCCTTGGCTGCCATTACGGGAGGCACGCTCAAGAAAGCAGCGAAATCCACACTGAGCACGGCACAGCTGTGGAGCTGCATTGCCGTTTACATGAGCAAGCAGCGATCGCGAGATGGCACCAAGCCCGGCAATTATTTCAATAACATTCTGCTCAGTTTGCCTTTGCCACAGAAGTCGCCTGTGCAGCCGGCGAGGAGCAGCACGCCAACGTCGCAGGCATCGTTGGTGTCCGGCAAGCAAACGTCCACACTGGATCTGCTCAGCGCGACGCCACGTCGGATCCACTCACAGGAGACACTGTGCAGGAAATTGGACAGCTTGCAGCGCTCGGATAGTTTGCTTTCGATAGGCCACAACTCGACGATTGATACGAGAAGTTTGGTCAGCTTTAGCCTAAACGAGAGTCTGCTGGATCGTAGCTTCAATGGCGAGTCTGTGCCTGTGGGCAATTTGAGCAGCAGTTTTGGCAACATGTCCCATAACCATAACAATAACAGCAATAATGCCACCAACAATAACAACATATCCAAGCATAGAAACAGCAGCAACTGTTCTATTACGTCGACAACATCCACGGGCAGCACAATGCTGGAGCAGGTGCCCAGCTTTGGCATGGCAAGCACTCTTGGCGAGCACGATGTGAGCTGCATCCGATCGTATTTAGAGCAGGCCTTCAAGGATCGCTATCATCCGCTGTATGCGTTAAACGAGCGCATTGTCAACTGTTTCCATTACTCCTATGGCTATTGGAAGGTGAAGCCAACACCGATTTTGGCCAAGCAGGCGATGCGTGAATGGGAATCAATATCCCGACGGATTTATCGATTCGTGCGTAAAATGTTTCCGGCACTGCCCGAGGAATACTGTCATCTCGATGGCACCAGAGAGGTCATCTCTCACATTACCCTCCTCTATCCGCTGGTCCTGTCCGAGGGCATTTACTCAACGCTCTTTGTGCTCTATGCCAACAAGTACAATCGCAAGGATGAGCTCTATAGGCAGAATTTAAATCATGCCGAAAAGTTGAACAATGAGGAACTGGTGGAGCTGCTCGGTCACGACAGGTAAGCAAATTGAATACAAAGCTTATCTCCATTCACGTTTCATTTGTTTGAGTCATAAACATGATTCACTTTTTTTTTTTTTGGAGCATGCCATAAACAAAATTACGAGGGCCACTTTGTTAGTTAATGAAATGAAAGACTTATTTTTAAATTTTCGATGAATCAGCTGAATGTGAGAAATCAAATAAATCGTTTGATAATAGTCATTTGCAATAATTTATTTACTACAAAGATATAATCAATACTTCCTCAATGGAAAATGCATTCTTCAAAAACACAGATTAACCAAGTTCAGTATTAATTAAAATTCAGAGCTATAGCTAACAATAATTTGTTTCACTAATCGGATTCTTATCATAATAAACACGTTTTTCTTGTTATGTTTTATTAATGATGATTTGTTTGTTTACAGCTGTCTCATCGCTGTGATGCTGGACACGCAATTCGAAGCGTCCATACAGATGCTGAAGCAGCTGCAAGAGAAATTCAGTCCCCAGGATATGTTGACAGTGATACAGCGCAACATGGAGCTGCTGACGGAGGCATATGAGCACGCCATGGCCAGTAAGTATTTGATTGACCAGCTCCGACTGACTGTTCCCACTATTCCTATATTCCTTTGGTATATTGCAGCGAATGGCGCACAGCTCAATGCGGACAACATGATTCCACTGACAATGCTGAGCATGCTGCGTGCCGCTGTGCCACATTTGGGTGCTGAGTTGGCGTTGCTGGACGATCTGACGGGCGGCCCAAATTTTCAGGCCGAAATGAATGGAATGGCAGGATATTGCTATACGACACTGAAGGCTGCCTACGAGCATGTCACAATGCGAGCGCTGCAACAAAGGACGTCTTAAATTCGAAAAAAAAAAAAACTGAACGCCTCAATTTATTTTGTTTGTTGAAATTGTTATGGCTTTTAATGCAACGATCAATTGAATGCTAATTTTTGCTTATTGCATGTGCATTACATAAGTAACCTGTTGAAATAGTTATATAGACTGTATATAGGAAAAATGTGCAACTGTCCTCGAAGGCATAGGTCCTAGCTTAGGCTTGTTATTTAAATGTACAGTCGTTGAGGGGATTTGCGGTGATCTGTTTATAATGTATGTATGTATATGTAACAATATCTCTATGATAATACTTCATATTAGATTAGACTTTAAGATTAACACATTCCATTAAATAAATGATACATATATCGACACAATATATATTACCAGTATACTCCCAGCAAATAATGTTAATGTATACATTGTTATAAACGTTTTCATTTAAATTCATTTCGTTCGATCGATTGAAATTTGCATTAACGTCAATTTTGCAGCCAACAACAAATGCTAAACATGCATGACGCCTGCAGTTTGGGCACTATTTGTTCCCGGTATTGCCGATGAAAACAAGGACTCGGATATGTGCTGTACAAAGTGCTTTTTGTGAAATGTATAGATGAGATACTTCTCGGGAAACGTTGTGCCTGACACATAATTATAAACCAAAATAACCTTATCACCGTGCTTGACAATACGGAGCGACGACAAATAGGCGAGAGCAAAAACGGTCTTTCGAAAGATATTGCGCTGATGGCTGATAAAGTATGTCGAGCGGAACGAGAGCATCGTGACATTATGGTACAGGGACACATTGTCCTCAGCAGAGCGCATATGACTGACAAATAAGATGGGTGCCTTCGGCCTAAAGTGCGAAATCTTCTGTACCATCCGTGTGGTCACGCCGCAAACGATAATGGCTTTAGCATCCAGCTCCAGGGAGGTTGTTACAACGGCACGTGCCAATCCATCGGCGCCCGTGTGCGAGCTATCACACTGGGGCATCTTTGCCAGTGCCACCGGCAAGATCTGTTCAAAAATGGCACTCTGCAGGAAGCTAAAATAACAGGCACTCCGCGACTTTTGGGACTTGACCACAAATTTGTCCGGATAGAAGAAGGTATAATAATAATGGGCGGGATCAACGCGCAAACGCTGCCCATTAATGGGGTCGACATCCAATAAGATGGGCTTCTTGGCGGCATAGGCTAACTGCATGATGCATTCGGCGTTCGGACACAATCGCATTATGTCTGGAACTATTTCTGGCTCCGTCAACTCCACCAGAAGGCCATCGTAGCGTAGGGCAATCCAGTTTAATGCGCCATCACAGCCGTGAATATCATTTAGGAGCACACGGGCATAGAGTCTGATATGTTCGCTCTGCAGCGATGCTGCAACTCTTTCCAGATCATCCAGATACCTTTCAGTGCCGGCTATATTAGAGACTAGCACATTGATACCTACTTGGCGGGCAAATGAAATGTCCTCCACCTCCTCGTACGATACACGGAATCTACTGCAGCGTGCCGGCAAAAGCACCGGCATATAGGATCGAAGTTCGCCCTTTCGACAGACACAACAATTGAGATGATCCTGGCGCACATAGCGCACCATCAGCTGTAGTTCCTCGCCAATAAGTATGATATCGTATGGACGAATGTCGCAGAGCAGAAAACGCGAATTCACATAAATCATACGCGATGTACAGCTACGCGAATAGTTGCGATCAACAGTCAGGAAGACTTTATATCCCTTAAGCATTGGAATTGGACCATTCTCGTCCTGAGCCAAATAACCGGTATATTGATGACGCGGCGACATCTTGGCAATGATGGTGGAAACAACGGGAAAACTTAACTGTTTGGACACACATATCTCTGCCTCGCGGAGCCGCACAATCACATCTTGATTCTCGCGCAGCGGACCACAAAACAAATCGATCATAAAACAACGAACTCCAGACACTGTATACATATACTATTTGTTTTATATAGTCTATATATCTTAGGTTAAACTCACATAAATACGTATGCAGGTCATCATCGAAATTTCCGGTGCTCAGCTCAATGCACTTGCTATTCTCATTGGCATCGAGGCATTCTGGTGTGCGCAATATCTGAAAGCCAGAAAAGAAATTACCCCAACGCTCTTCATCGAAGGGCATCTGGCATATATCCTCGCTCATTTCCTCATTCAACTCTTCATCTTCCGTGTCTGGTGGAAATGACATTCTTCTCAGGCTGTGCAGTGACTTCAGCCGTTGCAAGTCCTCTGGATTTTTATAGATGGATGAATCTTCATCCAGCCCAATCAGATCAATAAATGCTTTGCGTCGCTGTAGCGATGAAAGCAGTTCCTTGGCCCGGAGCACCTTGTCCACGTCGATCGTGACTATTTTGAGACGTTTGCAAATATCATCGATGACACTTCCTCTCTTAGACGCAGTGCTAACCCTTATTAATTCGGTCAAATCGGATACATTGTCGTCGTCTACCTCAATTTCGGTCATATTGATTCAAACAAATTGCCCAAAGCAAATATAGAAATAAATTCTACATAAATTTAATCGCAAATTGCAAATACACAAATTTGACTAAGTAAAATATACATACTGTAATAAATATTTGTGAGAATGTGGAACCGACAAAAATATAAAATGTTGAGATGTCAAATATATGAATACAGGAATCGTTTTACATTGAAAATAGTTTACTGTAGAACATTGTAAGCAAATGCCACATATGTATATTAAGAAGATATGATAAATTTCAAATGAGTTCATACAAATCTTTATATTCTGTGAAGCTTAGCTTTTGATATTACAAATACAATTTTTTTTTTTATAATTTTTATGTAAATGTGAAGAGTTTTCAACGATTGTTAAATTCTTCGCCAACAATTACAACAAAATTTGAAAATGAGTCATGATGCATGATTCGCGAGATTCACTTTTTAAGTTTTTTTTTTGAAAATTCAAATTCAAACTATACTGTTTTTAAGGTGATTCCCTATTCATTTATAATTTTCCGATATATTTTAATTACGCAAAAATATCTAGCAAAGGGCGGTGCCCGATGAAGCCTTTTATTTGGTTTTCAACTTTCAGGCGATGAAAAAAAAGTAATTCAAGGTACAGGTATAATTTTGAATGTTCAATGTGTCTTTGTTTTAGATTTGTTTATTTCCGTAATTTATTTGGCTTTTCTGTGAAGCCAGAATGTTAAATTTAGCAACGCGTCAAGTGAAATGTTTACAATCTGAGAGAGAAAGTCAAATGGAAGCTGGCAACTAAGGATAGCTATGAATTTTCCGAGTTTCCAACGGCAACGGCACTTGAGCAGTAGCATCAGTAGCCCAGCATCACAGCATCCCAGCATCATCATCTGCGGCCCCGAACACATAAACAGTTGGAATGTTTAGAGAATAAAAATTCATATTCCAGGCGAACATATCTCAGTTTAGTTCTGTTTTTTTTTTTTTGTGTTTTTTTGTTTTCATCTGCTCTGTTCTTTGGTTTGATTTTTGCTGTTGTTGTTTATTTTTGCTGAGAACTGACAGATAGACGGTGCTGTGCTCTTGGGTGTGGCCAGTGCATGTTTAGTCTAAACAACAACGGGGCAGAGCATTTCATTTCCTTTTGCTACCTAATCAGTCGAGTGCAGGCAGCTTGAACTTTGACGTGAACTGCAGCCGTCGGATCTGGCACTCTTGCTGGGAGTGGGACTCCTCCTCCCTAATAAGCTATTTTGTCCGTTTTTAGAAACAATTTCTATGCCACAAGGCGGCAAATGGCAACAGCAGCAGCGGAAACGTCTGTGTGGGTGGAAATGATGTATAGAGGTGGGGTATAGGGGTATTAGGCGACTACTACTACTATGAGACCATGGGAGGCCAGCTGCTGAGCATCGAACATGAATTGCCGTGCTTGCTCGTGGATCGTTCGTGCACTTGAGTTCCGGGCCGCTCGCTCGCTTGTCCGTTTCTTTTTTTTTTCGTTGCCCTCTCGCTCGCTCTGCTCCCCAAAAACATATTCCGTCTCTTACAGTTCGTCTCGTTTCGTGTCGGCATTTCATTATTTTTCTGCTTCTTCAACTATTTTTTTGTTGTTTTTTTTTTTTGAATAGAATTTTTCAACAATTTGGCTGTCTTAGAGTTTTCGAAATTTTGGAGCGTAGGTGCAGTGTGTCGCGACGCGTCAGCGTGTTCAGATCGGTCGGCTATATTTTTCCCCAGAAAAAATTCGAATATAAGGAATTTCAAAATATTGAAAATCAAATTTATATATTTGAAAAAAAAGGAGAACATTTAACGATTACAGTTAAAGTTGAATAACAGTTAAAGTTGAATCTTTATTGAAAGTGTTTTCTAAATATCAGGATAATTGGTATGGAGTGTTTCTTTTTACTGCGGAAGTGGGCGGATTCGCTTGTTGCCAAGTTCCATATACGTGTACATATATAGACACACACACACACATATGTATATATAAATATATTTATATATATATATATATATACATTTGTACACATATACATATGCGTACACAATTTTCGGCTTTCCAATATTTTTACTCTGCTCTGCCTTTGGCTAAAAATATTTTCCGTTAAAAACGTAGAAAATCCAAAAAAAAAAAAACAAAATAGAAAAAAAAATATCCACTTGTCTCAGTGCTGCCGTCTGCTTTTCATAATTTTTCATTTTTATTTATTTATCGTATACATGAATTTTCGCTCTCGAAAATTTCCCACTGCATTGCGTTTCTCAATTTAAATTTCGCATGTCGTCATTTTTGTTTACTCCCGCACATTTTCACAGTTTTCACAGTTCTTCGCGGCCTTTGTTGTTGGTTGGAGGAGCAGAAGGAATAGAACTGCCAGCCTAATGAAACAAATAACAATTTAATAGACACAGCGCTTAGTTTACAACTTCCTTGATTCTATAGCCAGCCACACATGCATTCAGTACATAAAGCAGTATAAAAAAAGTATGAATGTACATGCGAGTGTGTGTGTCATGGGAAGACAGCTGTGTGCTCTTTGGCAGATGCCATGCTGCGTATGTGGGGGAAGTCCATAAAAAATAAAAAATAAAAAAAATACAAACGAAACCAGCGCACAGTTATAAAAATAAAACTATTTTTGTATAGTATGCGTGTAGAGCAATCGATGATCAGAAGAGTATTTGGCTTTTTGCCTCTTGGCACAGTTTTCCAGACTCCCCCCGCACATAAATCAATCATGGCAGATTCAATTAATTGAATTCAAATACGAAATTAAATCTCTTTTTATATCTATATGTCCGAGAGCAATGTGTTTTTACCAGAGACTAAACATTTTGTGTATAAGTATTGTATGATTAAGCAATCTTCAGAGTTCTAGTCGATTTGTCTTTTTCCGCTTACTGGCGTTTTATTGAGCAACGACAGGAAAGGGAAAAAGGCGTATTTACTATGAATGTAATCAACAAACCTATTCAAATATCTATAAAGCTAGAACAACTGGTGAGTAACCCTCTATACCTTTTATATTGCTTTTTTATAAAGATGTTTGCAACTCGCTAATCAGAACCGACATCTTAAACGACGCATGTAAGCAATTTTACGCCCAATATAATGATTCATCTTAATTATGAGAAAAATAAAATCTCTGCAGTAGCAGAAAATTGATGAGAAGAGAACCTTTAAAGTCATTAATATTTTTTTATTATAAGGATACTTTAGCAGAACATCAATTGGCCTATTTTTGCTTTTGATCAATTGATGCATAATGATTTATTTAAACTCATTATGTATATTCTTTGTATAACATTCGTAATATATACTCTTGATGATTAAGTGTTCAAATTGTTTAATTTTAAACATACAAAAGCACACCAATTTGTTTTTATTAATATCTATACATACTTCAATTGCAGCTGTTTAGGAAACAATAAATTATAAATTGGACTTGAATGTTAAGTAAACGTTAAGCGAATTCTGGTAGCATCCATAGAAATTATGCCAGCTGTTTTTAAATATTTCTAAAAATAGAGCAAATTAATACAGTTCATATACTAAATTTAACCAACCAGATCAATGATCAAAAGTATATAGCATTGAAACAATTTGTTACCGATTTACTTTGCAATTAAAACCAGAATGAAATAGTCGAGCATACGAAATTATAATCGTATTTTCAACAAACAAAAAAAGAAAAAGCAAAAAACTAAATTAATTTGCAAATTTGGACATATATCGAAGTAATATTTCCAGTTTTGTGTATATACTTTTATATTGTGGAGGCTATGCCCATACATGAAATACGTAGTATGTGAATATATAGAAACATACCACCCCCAATCACAGTCCATGATATTTTCGTAGCATTTCAAATGAATCGAAATTAAATGTATAATTTATTGTTGCATAAACAAAAGCCACGAAACCGAATCGACTATCGAACGAAACGCAACCGAAGCGCATGTGGCACCTTTAAGTATTTCAAATTGTCTCTCTCTCTCTCCCTCTAACCATTTTGATAGTCTACACTCGAATACTAACTCTATACCCCACATTGCCCCGGTTCGGCCAAAGGTCTCTGTGGAACGCATTGTATTTAGCAGGGGCTGGAAAATTTAATGTGTTCCCCGCACGAACTGAGCCAAAAATAACAATCGGTTGCGAGGGCGCAATTGGATAAAGATGGCGGAGATGTGAGCGGTGTGAAAGAGCAGAGATTTGTTTATAGTTTTTCCATATAAACATTTCGCAATTGAGAAATCATTGTTCGAGAAAAATCGGCAAAAGTCGTTGCTGAAAAATGGCCAAGATCGTTGCGAAATTCATAAGTATTCAATAATTCCAATTCCAAATCGAATTCCAATTCCAGTGCTGATTCTAAAAAAAAAAAACACACACACACAAATAAAAAAATGAAATTAAAAACTGAAGAGGAGGAGGAACAAAGCATGCAGAAATGTTGGCATACCGCATCATCATCCCATATAATAATATAATCATACCAAGTAATGAATGCAAACTGAAGCGCAACTGTGATGGCGTTAAGAGCAAAGTAAACAAGTGCAAAGAATGCGATCGGTTGACTGGGGAATCTGGATACTCAATACTCATGAATACTTATGAGCATTTATGTACGAGTACTTATGGCACTGAGTTGATGTGTGTATCTGGCTGGATGGCCAGAAGTTGAATGCATGCAATTTTAGGGCGTATACATATAATTAAATCTGAAATTTATTCTTAGAACGAGTTTCGGCTTAAACAATTTTAGCAACTTAATATATGTCACACTGCGAATGAAACCGGTAAGGATGATGACCACAAAAATGTTGTTATTTTGCGTTATATAAGGCGCCTCTGTAACTGGACAACAGTCAAACCGAGCAGAGCTGACGAACAAACCACAACAACATGTTGAAGCTTGTAAGTAGCCTCCATTAATGGATTACGTCTGATAATCTTTAAATACTCCCCACATCTTGTCAAACAGTTAATTACCATTTTTGGATGCTGCTTGATTTGTGCATTGGCTGCACCCGTTGATATTCATCCGAGCTCAACGATGCAGCCGGTGGCTATCATTGACTCCGGACAGGAAAAGCATGAAGATGGCTCCTATCACTTCTTCTATCACGGCGAGGATGGCACACATCGCGAGGAGACGGCAGTGGTGCACAATGCCGGCACTGAGGATGAATTTCTGGAGGTGAATGGCTCATATTCGTACATCGATGTGAATGGCAAGGAAATTGTGGTGCACTATAAGGCCGATGATCACGGCTTTGTGCCCGAGGGCGGCAACATATTGCCACAGATATCGGAGGCCGCCAAGGTGACCAGTGAGCTGATGCCGCCGATGCCTGATTTGGATTAAAAAAATGCCGCAGAAACAATAATTCAATAAACTCTGAGCAAAACGGATTTCAAGAAAAAACACAATGGAGTCTTTATTGTTGATTCTTTTTTTTTTTTTTTTTGTTGGGTTTTCTATGATTAATGCAGAAACAATTTCAACTAACTACAGGCTGCTACACAGGATACAAGTTATCTAGCATTTATAATTTAAATTAACAGTGCGCTGAACAAGTTGAGAGTACAAATACAACTACAAGTACTATTTAAGGGATAGCTCTAGGGATAGGGCGTTATAATACATACGAACGAGTACGAGCTCAGTGAATTCGAATAAAAACAATGCAATAAATATGACATAAGTCAGACATATATATATATGGTTGCCTATATATATGGTAGACTGATTACTGCTACTTCTTCACAGGCGTCGCCGGCGGCGAGCGATAGGAGTTAACCAATCCTCCAGCATTCGGTTTGCGGGTCTTTAGACGCTGCTGCAGCGTCTGCAACAGGCCGGCGAGGACATCATGATTTGGTATCTTCTTGGCAAACAGCAAACGCTTTACTGAATCATCGTAAGTCAGCAGCGCGACCATATTCTGCAGCAAAAAGCACTGGCAATACTCCAGCAGATTGTTAGCATTATAAACCTAAGGGAAATCAGCATTAGTATTCCACATTTTACAGAAGCTGTAAGCAGTAACTCACCTTGGCATGTATATACATGGCCACCACATTGTCCACGTCAACCATTTCGGAGCAGCGAGCCTCTGTGTAGCGCAGAAGTGCCTCCAGCTGGAAGAAGCTAGCAGCAGCCATCAGTTCCAGCACATCACCATGCGACACATCCAAAGCACCACATCCACCACTGTAGAGAAATTGCATTACCATCTGGAAGATGTGGTAGCGTATATCGTTGATCTGTACTGTGGGCGTGGCATTGGCCTCACTCAGCTTTGAGCTGAGCATGCTCTGGAATCGTGGCGAGGCCGTGACCAATACTATTTTGTGGCCGTAGAATATTTTGCCCTCGACGCTGCAATAAAAAATAAATAAAATTGGCATGTATTGCTTTTTAAAGTCGGTTCAATTTTAAAAGTTATTGTCGATTTCTTTGGATAAATTTGTAATTTGCACTGCAACTTAGAATTTAGTATTAATCTATATACCAGACCATGATTAAGAAGCCTTTGCTTTTTCAGATTGGATCGGTTTTAATAGAGTTATAAAATTGACAAGATTAGATATAAGTGGATTTTTCAAGAGCTTTTTTATTGACTTACCGAAAGGTGACATCGCTTAGTTCCGGATTGTTGACAAACTTTGGATCGATGCGAGTGCCCTGAACTGGCTGTAGTGTCGGCTGCTCTTTCAGTGGATGCAGTGCTTCCCAGCCAAAGCATGTGGCGAATATATCGGCAAGGAGCAGTGTGGTGCCCTCGTTCTTATTGCGAAAGATGTTGAAGAGCAAGGGCAGGCACTCGCTGACAAACTGGGCGCTGTAATCATCCGGACAGACCTGCAGAAAGTCCTGCAGCAGCTGATCAATCACTGCATCCAGACGCAGATCATGGGCCGCAGACAGGGCATGCATCCAGCAGTGCAAAGTCCAGGGGACACCCAGTTTACGCAGCTCTATGGTAATGTCTGCAGATGGATAAAAAGAGCCCGCATCAGTAAGTTGTTTATATATATGTTTTGTGGATTGATTGATTGACTCACCCAGATGATTGTTCTCGGCGCTGTGGTACATGGCCTCCTGGAGTCGCTTGATCTGCGTCTTGTTGAGCAGCGGCAGCAGATCCTCGCCGGCAACACTAACTGCAGCAGTGTTAGAAGAGCCACGACCCACACCGACCACATCACCCTCGGCGAGCATCTCCTCCAATGAGAGCACATCCCTCGTACCCGGCGAAACCGGATGTGTGAGCAGCTTCCGCAAACACGAGCGATGCCCATGCGCCGCTGCCACGGAGATGGCGCAGAAACAACCCTTTTGCGCGGCGCCCGCAAAGCAGAGCGTGTCCTTCTGCTGTGTGGACATAAATGCATTGGCGCCGTGTGCCAGCAGAAGAGCCACCATTTCCAGATTGCCTGTGCCAGCGGCCAACTGTAGCGGCGTCAGTGTGCACTTCTCCTCGCTGCTCCGTGCTCCTCCCTCCACTTTGCCGCCACGCTCCAGCAAGATGCGCAGCGCCACATAGTTGGCCCTGCTGGCTGCAAAGCTCAGAGCCGTCCAGTGTTGCGTGTCCGGCTGTATGGCCGGATAGCCCGTGCTACCCGTTGCGGGCACCTCCACATTGGGATCACAGCCGGCATCGAGGAGCGCATGCAAAGCCACCTCATCATTCCGTATGCTGGCAATCATCAATGCGGTCAATCCGGCACTGTTCTGTGTATCGTAGCGCGTAGTCGGTGGCAACAGCTGAGCAGCCTGCGCCAGCAATTCAGCACGTCCTGTCAGCAGTAACTTGAAGGCGACTCCAACTGTGGCCCGCCTGCCAAGCTCCGAGGTGTCCTCGCCAATGCTGCTTACAGCGGGTGTGCTGCAGCTGCTGGCCGTACCCGTTGCACCTGTTGAGCCCGGACTGCTGCTGCTGCTGCTGTTTCCAAAGTGCGTCTTCTTCGTGGGCAGCTCCTCATCATGGGCTACGGGACGTATGGGACAATCAACGCCGGGCAGCAAAAGACGTGCAGCCTGCAATGGGGGACAGATCAAGCAAATGATAATTTTGGATACATATACTAAGCAATCTAAGTGATTCAACAGTTAATTCACCCAAATGCCACCCACCTGTAAAATATCATCCTTATCGATCATGATGCCATTGCGATGATCAGCATGTGCGGATGCCACACGCAGCCACTCGGCCAGCGGGGGTAGGACGACGTAGGCGCGTTCATAGCACAGTTCCTGAACGTTTTGGGTGCCACTGTTGGGTGGCGCTCGTCCGGCCGTTGAACTCTGGGCGGCAAGCTCTGTGTGCTCCAGCTGGGAGCAGCGCATGAAATAGAACAGTGCACTGAGCGCCGCATTCGAGAGGGCGGCGGAATGTTGGAACTCCTGCTGGGTGCGCAGTGCCTTTTCCTTCAGCTCACGTATGCTGCCCACACAGGTGGCCAGCGAGAAGGGGCTCGCCCAGCGTGGCATAGCCAGGGCGCCGGAGGCGATGCGTCCAGCATTCAAGTGGGCAAACGGCTGCAACAGGCCCCAGAAATCACCTGAGCTGGCAATGTTCTGATCGAGAGCCGGCGCCGTTGAGCTGTTGCCGCCACACTGCAGCATGATCTCTTCGAGGAGATTCTCAATGCCAGCACACAAATAGACGGCAGCATACTCGTGAATGAACTTGCCCAGTCGAGCATCGGTCATCCATCTGAAGAAACTTCCCACGGACAACTGGAGTCCGGCCCGTGAGGATTTGCTCTGCTTGAGGGCACTCTCGCCGGGCACCGCGAACATGGCGGCGGCACGCAGACACGCCTTGGTGCAGGAATCAGCCAGTGTGGAGCAGAGCACCACCTTGAAGGCACCGGCCACCTCCTGCTTGGAGCACAGACCCAAGCCCGCCGAGAAGCGCTGAATCTCCCGTGCGATGCGCACCAGTGCCCGCTGCAGCAGATAGCCCAGCCTGGAGATGACCTCGACGGAAACGTGCTCCGCCTGCTGCTTGCAGCGACCATTGCGCAACACTCGCATAATGCACTGTTGGCTCCACGGCGGATGCTGCAGCTCCACCAGTCGATTGTGCGAGTCCACCCACACAAACTCATCCGCACTGGTGCTAGTGATGACCGTCTCCAGGGATGAATAACGACCCAGACGCCTGGCTGGCTCCGAGCTCTCCGAACCAGCACTCAGGCTGCTGTAGGTGCTGCTGCTTGTCTGCGATCGCATCGTCAGCTGCTGTATGGCTAACTTGATGTCCTCCAACCCACTGCCGCTCCACGGCGCCTTGCCAGCGGGCATGATGCCTCGATGCCGTCTAGAGCGTGTACTCCGATTGGTCACGCCAGCGGCCAGGCGATCTTCGGGCAGCGGTCCCAGGGTCATACCACCAGCCGGCGACGAACTATGCCCGCCCGTATCCGACATGCTGGCATGCCCCGAACTCCGATTCTCATCCGACGAACTGTGGCACTCCTGCACCCGCTGCAGAGCCCTAAACTGTTCATGCGGATGCGTCCGCGCCGTCGCTGTTGGAATGCCCAAGGTAGCGCGACTCGGAGAGCTCTGCAGGCTGCCGCTCAGCTGTGGCGGCTGCGACTTGACCGGAGTGCTCTGCACGGTAAGACGAGCAGGTCCGGCCACGGCACGTTGCGGCATAGCTGCCTTGGAGACGGGCGATGTCAGTTGATGATGTGGCAGTGGACTGGTCATCAGAGGCACTGGCAGCACATTCGCTGGCGTCTTATTATTGCCCATTGGCGCCTTGTTAGGCTGCTGTGCTAGCTCTTTAAAGATTCGTGGCGCTGGCGTTGCCATTGCCACCGCCAAACCGCCGCCCTGTGGTGCAATATGTGGCGCATTGGCGTGCCCCGATTGCGACTGTTGTGGCTGCAGTGGCACAGGCGGCAATCCTGACGTCTGAACGGGCGCCTGTTGCCCAGCAAAGCTTGGCGGCAAGTTTCCCGTGGGTCTGCAAATGAATTAAAGAAAAGAGTGGAGTTAAATTTTAATTAAAACAGTGACAATTCAACTATAAAATAAATATTTACATCTTTTGTATATAGCTTAGCTAATAGATTGTGCGGAACATTCAAGAGATTTCACAGTAGTTACGATAATAGAAGAAGCAGAAGTTTGCTATCATCATCATTCACTTGACCTAAATGTGAGCAGCAGCCTATTAGTTATGCAACTAATTTGAATCCATCAGAATTGAAGAATGTCACCAAAAATAAACAAAGCCACTCCTAACGGTCGAGCTAAGGTTTGCTGTCATAAGCAATTTATCTGTCATATTACCGCTTATCTTTCACACTGTCTTGCCAATCTACTCGGTCATCTTTGCATTTACAATGTATGTAAAATATCTTTTTTTGTGTGTGTCTCTAAACGAAGTGTGGTCTTGAGCTTGAGCTTGAGCTTGGGAGGTGCCACCTAATTAAAAGCAGAGATATACAGATAGAGATCCGGAGGTCGTTGCTGAGCTTGCAAATCTTTGTCAAACACTTTTCACACCTTGAACAACAAAGGGGAGATTACGATTTGCTGATGCTGTTTGTGTCGCTTAGAACCCGAAGAGAACCAGCTAGAATTATGTCATGATAATTTAATAACAAACTCGTGTCTGCTAAGATCTATAAAATAATAATCTTCAATTGGATGCAAATCTGAATAATCCAAGCTGTATTTTATTTACCTTAACAGCAGTCTTAGGCAAATTTATATGTATTTTGTTGTAAAATTTATGACAATTCTCCGATAGTTTAAACAAAACGAACGTTTTTTGAATTCGGTAAGAGTATGCCAACTTCTGTGTTTCAACTGAGATTAGCGTTTCCTTTTGTTTATGAAAGTGGGTTGCCACTCGTTCTCACAATTCTGCACTGTCGTTGGCTAAAACAACAATAACAACAACAGCAACAACCTCCATCTAACTGGGTTCGGTCAAAAACCAAAATTAAGAGCCACTTACGACCACTCATTTGCATGCCGCAGAGAATCAAGTTGAATCGTTTGCTTTTATTATGATTTTTGATTTAATGCTGTAACATAAAACGTCGTTATTATATTTGATTGACCCAGAATTTAGCAGAGGTTTTGTATTTTTCAAAAATTGTCCATTGTTCTTTTCATAGCAATGGACAACATGTGTGTGTTGTTGCGCTAAATACGATTTATTGCTTGAATTGTCTTACAATAGTGTGACATGATCCCATTAGCGAGTTCTCGATTAGACTTTGCGGTAACGATCAGTGACCTCTTGACTTTGTTGGCGAATTGACAAAACATACTGTTAAAGTAGACCTAATAATACATATTTGATGCTGAAGATCTATGTAAATGTCTGCTGATCACATCAACACCAAGCTAGTTTCTCTCTACCTTAGAATTTCAACAAAAAAATAAACAATTTTCACATCAAACCTTTCGGTACATTGAGTAATAAATTACAAAGAAATTGTTTGGTTAAAAAAGGGGATTATACAAACTCTTTCAATTTCCTCAGAAACTATAAGTAAGAAAGCCCATCTAGACTTTTCCCTTTTGCAATGATATATTCAATGCAATTCGCTTTTCATGCAAATAATGAGGGGGAAAAAAGGTAATACCGAAAAGTTTTCACTTGCTACTCCAATGGGCAAACCCTCATCTGGCATGGCTTTCACAACACTAGAATGGGAGCCCCGACAGCAACAATTGTTGCAAAAACCAATAGGAAAAACAAACAACTGAATTGGGCAAAAACGAAAAACAAAAAAGTAAAATAATGGCAAATCATTTGAAGTATTTTCACTACCGTCTCGCAGCTCGTCGCCACTCCTGAACGTAGCTCCAATCGCATGAATCTGACTGACTGGCGGTCTCTGCATCGTGGCCAGGGTCGCTGTCATCGCCGTCATCGTCGTCATCATCATCATCATCATCGAGAGCATCAGCTCTGCTGTCAGCAGCATCGGATTTCATTTGGCCAACAACAGCAAGAGTTGGCTTTGCCACCGTTTCCACCAGAGCACTGGCGCGCCGGTAATTGCCTTCAATTTTGATATTAATTACGCCATTCTGCACGCTCTCAATGTAGGGCGGCAGTTCATCATCAATGTTTGCCTCCCCAGACTCCACGGCCACCTTAGTCTCGGCAGCCACAACTGCCTCCTCCATTGGCTCCGGTTTGGCTTTTTCATTGGCCTGCAGTTTGTGGGACATCTCCTGTAGCAGCTGCGAGTGCAGATTGGCTGCATCTGCGGGCATCAGGTTCGATGCGGGTTGTTGCTGCTGTGCCTGCTGCTGCGGCAGCTGAGCTCGATTCATGGAGTCACCAAAATAGATGACCACCTTGTGATTTGGTTTGACCTCGCGATCGCCTAGATTCTCATTCCCATTCCCATTTCCATTCTCATTGCTCTTGGCTTTGCCATCACGATCTCGTTCCCGCCTGCGCTGTGTGGCCGCCCAATCGGGCAGCTCCTCGATGGGCGTGGGCGATGGTGTCTGCGCTGGGCGTGGCACATCGCGCGGCTGCGACTGGCACATTTCGCTATTGCGCAGTGATTGCGGCTGAAAGTTCTTCAGCGAGATGCCGCGACGCCTCAGTATAAAATTCTCATTTAGCATGCGACCCAGCAGCGAACTGGGCGGCGTTCCCTTGCCCCCCAACTTGCCCGACTTGCACTTTGAAGGCAACTGGAGCTGTAGCTGCGGCTGATGTGCCAACAGTGGCTTCTTGGAGCTTAGCTTATAGTCGCGCAGCTCTCGACACAAGCGGCAGGCGCAATCTTTGGTGCAATACATAATGACGATGATGATGCGGATGATGAAGATTGAATTTAAATTTGAAATTCGAAATTCGAAAATTACAATTTAGCTACAACTTTTGCTTTGGTTTCATTTCACTTTGCACAGCAATTGCGATTACTGACATACACAATTTAATACACAAAATAATAATAACAACAATTATGCAAATTATAAATTTTCATTGCTCTAGCGCCGTGCGCAGCGTTGCGTGTCCGACGCTACAACGTATCCCAATCCGAATCCGACTCCGAGTCCGAATCCGAATCCACACTCCGATTCTTACAGTTTAACTCTCGTTTTATTTTTTCTCGTTTTCTAGACGCTACCGCTCACGCTCACACATCAAGCTCGACTGAAGCTTGCCAACTGCGAGACGGCGTTTCAAAGCCCAACTCTATTGCTGCCGTTGATGTTGCTGTTGCTGCTTCTGCTGCTGCTGCTGTCGACGCCGGCATCGCTGTCGAGTCATTGTCTGTGAGCGGCGGCAACGTCTGTTTTTCCTGATTTTCACAGAGCGTACGTACGTAGTATTGTATATAGGCATAGGCCTTTGGGCCCATGCCACCTTGCAGGTCTTTGGCTTGGGTAATTTCAGCTGCCGTGAGTTGTTGTTTCTCAGCTGTGTGACCAAAACAATGGCACAACTGTAACATTCAACATTTAGCCAACAGACAACAGCAGGCAGCAGGCAGCAGCAGCAGCAGCAGGCAGCAGCAGTCAACAGCAACAGCAGGCGGAGATGTACTCCAGGGCAGATCCCATCAGGTCTGTGTAATGAAAGCGATATGGCTGGTCACTTCAAGTCACAGTGACCGGAAGATTACTTTTCAATTAATTGCACTTATAGATATTTAAATTATTTGAGAATAGAAAAGAGCTAAGATCACTTCAATGATTTTCAACTCTCTTTGAGGATCTTGGAATCACAGTATATAAATGTGTTTCACTGTGATTTTATAATCATAGTAGCTAAATACATTAATTTTAAGTATATAAAATTTCTGTGTACTTTACTCCTCGTATTTCTAGAATATAAATCCGTATAACGCATAATAAATAAGACTTAAAATTAACAACTTTTGAAGCTGTTAAAAAGATTAATTCATTATACTAAAGTAAGCTCTGAAAAAATGCTCAAAGACGTATAATAATATTGAACAAGTTTAGACAAATTGCGCATCTCTATTCGTAGGCTTTGTGAATTTAATTATATACAACAGTTGAGAGGCCGAGTGCTGTGGCCTGGGACGCACTCGAAGGTTATACAATCTTGACACTTATCAGATCGTTTTGCTAGCTTCCTTCCGCGCCTGGGCTCAAGCTCACGTTTTGTGTTCTGAGCGTGTGCAGACACGCGTAGTTTCAGAAGATATTTATGTATGTACATCATCTAGATAGATTTCATGTGTAGCATAGATAAATCGCTGAGCGTAACCTGCTTCTAATGATTTATAACAGCTCATCTTGTTGATGTAACGGTTTTCAGTTTGTTTGACGATTGTTGGTTTTTTTTTTTTGGTTTTCATTGGGCAGCTCCACAAAGTTCTTTTGTTGTTCAAGAATTAACGGCGATCGCATCCTAGGGCCGTGCCGCTGAAACCACAAACGAATGCCATCGTAATTAGAAAGTTATGACCAATAGCTGGTCATTTGGTCAAATGCCAGTCAGCGTGTTTTTCAAAAAAAAAAAAACCAAAAACCGAAAGAAAAAACGCCCACGTAATGCGGAAAAGCCGAAACATAGCCGTAGACCGAAGACGCTCAACTAGAGGCACTAGAGGCACTACTCGGTACTCTCAAACTTTTGGATTATACAATAATAACTTTCTTCATTTCTTTGGTGTGTTGGGTTTCTAGACAAACTTGATTGCTTGCGTTGTTAACTATTAAAAACATTATACTCCGAACAATTTGCGCATTAAAAAGTTAAATATACGGAATCGTAATGACAGACTATAAATAAGTCTGCTTACACCCATTAAGCGTAAAGAGTCGAAAAAGCAAAAGTATAGCAAAGAGTTTAATGTAATATTTGCGTGTTTATAAAATAAATCAACCAAAAAGTAGAAAAACTGGCCAAAGGCGGCAACTGCATTTCAAAAGAGCTAAAAGTAGCCACAAAAGCAAAACCTAAAACCTATTAGTTGTGCCCAGCCCGGCACGGCCTTTTGGGCTGCAGCCGCCTACCAACTTATATATTTATATATATATATCCAAACTATCCAAAAATTGTGTGTCATTTTAGTTGGCCAACTAATGAGATTTGCTTGCAATGGCTTGAAGACCCAAAAACCAACCGAGCCCATCGTGCTTAAGGAACTTTCGTTTTTTATGCCGACTCTTGGACAGGAAATTGTTTTCGGTATTTGGTCGTAGATTGTAGTAGATCATTAGAACTCACTCTTCAAGTAAGTCGTTTGCGGCTGTGCCATTAATAATTTTGGGTACTAGCATCGTTAAGATGTGCATAAATACAAATGGTAATGAATGCTAAGGTTCTGACAAGGTTATTTAAAGAGCTTAGCCGATTTACAGACATTTTTTGATTAGACCACTTCAAATCACAGCTTTCCGCTGTTGGTTTGGCTTTCAACCCATCTTTGACATAAATTTTTCGACTAGTCATGTCTGGGAACGGAAAGCCCGAAAAAATATTTATGCACATACAGTTTCTTGTAGGTAGTAAGAAACTTGTTCAAAGAAAATCACTTCACTCGTGATATAGAAACGGTTGTTGTCCAAGCCACACATCTAGGGAGAGTAAAAATGAATTTTCCACATCATATGAAGAGTGGCAAATATGTAAAAGAAAATTGAAGCAAAAGCAGTAAATCGTTTTAATATTTGCAGCTAAAGTAATTAATTGTTAAATAAAGAAGCAATTATTTCAATTAATCATAATGATGAGCACTGATCAATGGTAATTCGACACACTGATTAGTAAAATATACACACTACACATCTATTTGTGTACGATTTAAAACAGGAAATGTAAAAGGGGTCAAAGACCACAGACTTTGATGTTTGCTGCTTGCTCTGAGTTTTGTATTTTAGTATTTTGTGGATGTTTGTTTATGCAGCTAATTGCTGTAGTTGTTTCTGCTCAATGCTTATATAAACACCATAACCAGAGCAATCAACTTATGTTGTATATAGCACTTGGATTTTTTTATTTTTATTTTTATTTTTCTTTTTTATTTTGCTGCTCTTATGAAACAACATTTGTATGCATTAGTTGGCTTAACAAAAAAACCAAGCCCTATCATTATTACATCTTATGACGCGCCACCTGATTTGTAGATACATATAGATAAGTACACGCTGATTGTGCGTGGCGCTAACAAGATTTCCGCATTTGCTGCTGCTTCACATTGTCCATTAACCACAGAGCGCAAGAGTTCGAGCCATCAGTAGATGCGGTCAATGGATGCGACTTCGACTTACTTTGCTTCCGTTTTTGGGGTCCAACTTGAAATCGCATTTGGCTTCAACAGCTTAATTAGGCGAGCGAGTGACGTTGCGAAGTCTGTCTATCAGCTCCATCAACTACAGCTGGATTCGGATATCCACAGCATGTGGCAGGCAACAACAAGCAACAGCTGACGGCAGCATGCGACTCCCACACTTTCGCGTCTAATACTTTTTTTTTATGTTATTGCTCTACCCTGTACATACTAAATTTGTAGAAAGGGGGTTAAGAAGTTGCACTAACATATTTTGCTTAGAAATAGACGGTATCTCAAAATTTAAATTTATATACATACAGTTATATATATAAGCATTTCTTATAATTCATATATAACAGGGTAGCTGCTAGTCAAGTCGATTTCGCCAAGAGAATTGCAACTGTTTTCTTCTGACTATTCGGCGATTAATAACATTAAAAGTATCTCATAGATACGATGGGTAATGTGTCTGGTTTCGTTGTGCTTGACTGTATGTATGTGTGTGCGAGTGTGTGTGTGTGTGTGAAAGAAAGTGTTTGCACTCTACAGAGGCACGGGAACAGGTAAAAAGGTAATAACATTTTCACTTGCCTCGTGTCGTCGCATTTTTAATGCTGCGCTGAAGATGCTTTAAAAAAAAATGTAACAACCATGGAGGTTTATTGCCCTCTACTCCAGACCGAGGCCCAGACCCCTGACTCGAGACCTCAGATACCGTGAGCCATGCCCAGGCCCGTTCCATTGTCATTGGCGTGGATGTTGATTTTAACATGGTAGCCATAGATACAGATACAATGTTGTCGTTGTTGTTGTTGTTGCTACTGTTGTTATTGTTATTATTGCTACCTAGCTGGCAAATTGTGTGGCGAATTTTTATTTTGTAAAATTTTTCCTATTTCAGTTCGTTTGCTGTGTGCATTATTATTGTTTGCAGCTAATTATTCACATTTTGCCATTTTCACTTTCATTTGTGTGAATTTCGTCGACTGTCATTTGTTTGTTGTTATACGTATTTCAAAACTTTTAATTGTTTGTCCATGCAAAAAGTTTCCAAAATGCCAGTCATATTTCGGCTTCCTGTGTCCATACATTACACCCATATATACACATTGAAATCACATTCAATCGACAATTGTTGCGGCATTGTTTGATTGAGAAATCGAGTATGAAAATTGAAATACCTTCAGCTCCAGTTTCAATTTAATTGAATTAGTCTTGTCTGAATGGGTCGAGCACTCCATTCCACTTTTAATATTCATCTAAGCTTTCATAACCTTAAGTCAGCAGAGCTTTGTTTGATATATATTTTTAGATACTTTGGCACACATCCACTGACCAAGTGATCTTCTGCTCCATTCGTCTGACACTGACAATAACTGCGGCATTAATTTTCCCTAAATTAACCTTGACCGGCTTCACAATGTGACTAAAAAAGATTAAGATATCTAGACATGTTGTGCCCGTTTCTTCTTTTTCTTCTAGTTCAACAGCAATAACAATTCAAATATTTCCGAATACCGTCAACCACCAGCATTTGCCATTCTTTCG